TCGGGTCAGTCTACAGGACACCACCCCCACAACCCAGTTCCTGAACTTTTTGAACAGCCAATGCACCCAACAGTGGCTAATGAGTTTTCCCTTACTACCCCAAGACATCAGGAGATGACTGTTCACTGTCCTGCATCCCCGCTAGCAGCCAACTAATTAGGAGTTCTTTAGAAATTAAAACAACACTAAAGGAAGAAATAATAAGGAAACCAATACTAGACAACCTCCTAGAGCATTGATTACCAAACTCAAAGGTCCCTCTGAATGCCCAGTATCGTGTAAGAAGTCTATACTACTAAAGGCCACCACCATGAATTTCAGAATAAATGGATATAAAGAAGAGATCTTTTTTCCCCCTCCCCCAAGACAGGGTTTCTCTGTGTAGCTTTGTGGACCAGGCTGGTGTCGAACTCACAGAGATCCACTTGCCTCTGCCTCCTAAGTGCTGGGACTAAAGGCGTGTGCCACCACTGCCCAGCTAAAGGAAAGATCTTAAGAGGGAAAGGAAGAGGTAACCTATGAAAACAGAGAATACAAATGCTATAAAACTAAGTGTGCAGGCAGGAGCCTATAAATCCCAGGAAGGAAGCAGAGACAGGAGAATCTTGAGATCTAGGCCAGCTGGTTCTGTATATTGGGAACCTGACTCAAAATTATGAAGGAAAAAAGGAAAGAGATAAAATTTCAGTGATGAATTGCTTGGCAAACATTAACAAGGACCTCAGTTGCTTCCTGAGACCACAATGTGTGTCAAAGAGAGGAAGGCAGAGAGGAAGGGAAGAGTGGAAAACAGGAAGGGATTGGAAGGGGGAGCTTGAGCAAGAGTGTTTGCTGGCCAGCTACTCTTCCTGTAGTCCAGTGGGTACAGATACTGGGCCTGGGAGGCTAAGGTAGGAGGATACCTTGTGTCCAAGTGTTCAAGACAACATAGCAAGAACCTGTTTGGGAGGGAGGGAGGGAAAGATTAAAAAAGAGAATAAAGTTGGGCAGTTGTGGCACACCCTTTTAATCCCAGAACTCGGGAAGCAAAGGCAGACAAATCTCTGAGTTCAAGGCCAGCTTGTCTACAAAGTGAGTTCCAGGACAGCCAGGTCTACACAGAGAAAAAAAAAAAAAAAAAAAAAAAAAAGAAGAAGAAGAAGAAAGAAGAAAGGAGAGGGGATGGGAGGAGAAGAAGAGAGGGAGAAGAATGAGAATGCTCTCTTCAATGACATTTTCAAAAGCAAACTTCAAAGCAGGAGGACATTAAAATGATGCCTTTGAAGTTTTTAAGTAAAACTACTTAACATAGATCCCCCCCCACTATCACTAAATATGGGAACATAAAAACATGTTTACAAGTATATGAACAACAACAACAAAAACATCTATGATATATCCTCTCTTTTACATAAAGGCAAAATAAATAAATAAATAAATAAATAAATAAATAAATAAATAAATAAGGGATTTCATTTTCAGGGAACAAAGAATCCAAAACAAGATCCAGTCAAAACAATCCTGAAAAAGAGAAAGTTGGATGTTTCACACTTTATCAAAAGGCTTCTGTAATTAAAACAATGTGGTACTGTCATAATGTCAAACCAATAAAACTAAACAGAGCTTAAGCCTTAAAGACATTAAGCTAAGTTCACATTAAGTGGATCATAGGTTGTCTGCCAGGGCTGAGAACAGGGTATTACAGTTTAATGAATTAACATTTGTAAGAGCTGTCATGAAATTTACATTGCAAATATACTTAACATTAAGTATACTACATATAAAAAGTCATTAAATTTCACACCATGTGTTCTTTACCAATATAGGTAGTGGAGTAGGGGAAGCATAGTAAACTTCTGCAGAAATATCAAATGTTTCTTGACAAGGATGCCAAGTCATTCAATGGGAGAAAGCACGCTCACAAAATTGTGTTAAGAACAATACACACAAAGAATGTTGTCAGGTCCATGCCTTGTAGACAAATTATACAATCACAGGAAAGCCTTCATGACTTTGGATTTTACAATAAATCCTTGGATATGATACCAAAATCAAGGAATCAAATGAAAAAAATTATGATTCATTAACTTTTGGTGGAAGTAAGTAAAGAAAGAAGGAAGAATGGAAAGAGTGGGTTGATGGGTATGAAATTAATGAACAAAACATAGTACAAGGCTTAACAGGTGACTCACAAACACTTGTATAGCTCCAGCTCCAAAGCCTCTGAGAGCATATGCACTCACACAGACACATACACACATACAAAAATACATTTTTAAAGAACACTACTGAGAGAATAAAAAGGCAAGCCATAGAAAAGCCATATTTGCAAGGCAAATATATGGCAAGTTTAATAATCAAAAAATTTAATGCAAAGAGATTGAATATTTATTTGACCAAAGACTATATACATACATATACATACATACATACACACATACACACACCATATATATGGTCAATAAGCACATGAAGTGCTGCTAGTTGTCACTAATTGTTAGGCAAGTGCAACCACAGTGAGACACCACATCATTCTTTATTGGAATGGCATTTACCAAAACACAAGACAAAACAGAAAACAAGAGCTGAGGAACATGCAGGTGACACTTGTGTACTCCTGGTAGAAATGAAAAAGGTGTGGTCAACATGGAAAACAGTTAAGGTAATCTCTAAACTTTGAAGCACAAAATCATCGCATGGTCCAGTAATTTCACTCTGAGGTATCTATCCAACAGAACTGGAAGCCAAGGGCTTAGATATTTCATAGCAGCATTCCAGTACTGAAGAGATAGAGGAAAGCAACACAAATGTCTATCAATGAATGAACAAACAAAACATGGTATATAGCTGCAACTGAACATTATTCGGCCTTAAAAAGTAATCATAACATGTGACAACAAATGAGCATATGGGCATTATGCTCATTCAAGTAACCAGACACAAAATCCCAGGAAGGAAGCAGAGACAGGAGAATCTTGAGATCTAGGCCAGCTGGTTCTGTATATTGGGAACCTGACTCAAACCATGATTCTGTTAATATGATGTACCTAGAGCAATCAAATTCACAGAAACAGAACAGTGGTTACTAGGGACATACGTGGGGTGGGGTATCAATATTTAACGGGAACAGAGTTTCTGTCTAGGATAATGACGAAGTTCTGGAAATGAGGGATGACTGCTTTTTCCATTGGAGGATGTGTCCTTGCTAGTACTGACTACTGTTTTCAGAGCTGGAAGAGCTCCAGTTTTAAACAGTCCCTTACATGGAAACAGTAAGTTTTCTGCTGTTAAGATTTAGACTTTCTCCACAGATCAGAGAGTGACTATGAGGCTAGGAGTGGTACCTAATAGTAAACTTTAGTTATGACATATGTACAGATCCATGAATATATCTGTGAAAAAGATACTAATGTTAATTTCTTCCCCTAAAGAATTCATGATGGCCTTTTAGGGCAATGTACATACATATCAAATCAGTCTAAATAGGAAATTCCTTTTAAATGTAAAGTAATCCTGAATACTTAAAAAACCAACAACTACTATCTAAGTAATTATTCCTGTCACAAATTAAAGCAACAAATAAAAGCAACAAATACAAACATTTAAGCTGTAATATTTTCATAGTTCTGATATTTCTTTTAAAATATATTTCTACAGTCTAGAGAAATGGCTCAGCAGTTAAGAGCCCTGGCTGCATTCCCAGAGAACCTAGGTTCAATTCCCAGCACCCACATGGCAGCTCACAACTGTCTATCATTCCTGTTCCAGGATATCGGACACCCTCACATAGACATACATGCAGGCAAAACACCAACGCACATAAAATACATTTCTTCAGGCTGGAGAAATGGCTTGGTGATTAAAAGCACTGGTTGCTCTTCCAGAGGACTGGAGTTCAATTCTTAACACCCACCCATATGGCAGCTCACAACCATCTTTACTCTAGTTCAGTGAGATCCAATGCACTCTTCTGATCTCTGCAGGCAGTGTACACACATGGGGCACAGACATATAGTCAGGTAAAACACAGAGATTCATTCACACATGAATTCTTCAGTAAATTTGACTTTGCTTCAGAAATGTAATTCAAAAATGAAAATCTTCATTTTTTTTCCCTAAGGGTACATGGTTGTAATATAAAACAGGGAGGTTTATAAAATGTGCAAAGACCTGGGTCAAAATTTCATTTCTGCTATAATAAGCTTTTGGCTAATAACATGTTTTTGAAGCTTGGTTTCTCGTCTATAAAATGTAAACAGTAACAATGCCAACTTCAAAAGGTTATTATCAGGGTTAACCTTACATAAGTTCTGGTTTACTGAATATTCAACTATGTTATAAGTGATGGTAGAGCAATGGAACTTTTCCAGGTCTGGCCTTGATTACACCTTCTACATGTCATGTTGCCTACAGATACCAAGCTGTTTCATGCCTTAGTCCTTCTTTATAAGTTTCTCCTCATGTTAACCTGCCTAGATTCTGCCACAAAATTCCTCATTCTAATTACCTAGGTCTATTTGATAAATGTTTGTCATTGAAGAGCCACCTAGTGCAAATAGTGTTATACTTACTGGTACTTATCTGGGTCTGCTGAGCACCCTCATATTTCAGTACTACAGACAGTAGCAAGTGGTTAAATAATCTGTCTACTATTGCACAGTAACATACATACATATATATATATATGAAGCTATATATATATGAAACTATATATATATATATATATATATGAAACTATAAGACACAGCCTTAGAGTTAAAATTAGTGCACAATAAGAATGAGATTCTGTTGACTTGGGGCTGAGGTAAAATTTCAAATCACCTTATTGTACACAGCCACCTTGCCCATGCAGAAAAAGCTTACCAACATCTGCTCTTGTCATTTTTATTTTTATTTAGTGTCAGCATAATATGGATTATGTGATGACTTCCTTGGGACTGTTTTGAAAACCACAGAGCACACTGATTTCTACCCTTTCAAAAGCAAGGGTGCCAGCTATTGTGCTAGCCCCTGTCACTCACCTCAGCCACCTGCTGGGTCCCCACTCTGTGCTGAACCAGCCCCTCCATATTTGTAGCCATGGTGAAGCAAGATCATTAGAGAACCTGTTTGGAAAGATGCAGCAACTTCTATCAGGTGTGGAAAACCAGGCTACTTAAAAATTATCACTCATCAAATTTTCATCTTTGATAACTGTCTTACAAGGACTATGCCTTCTACAGGAGACAAAGCAGGGTAAGCATATCTGGATATGCCATAAAATTGGTGTACCAAAATTTATAGGAACATTTCAATTAGGGAATTCCTCTTGGCAGAGGAATGAGGGACTTTACCTATCAGATCTTGGTTTTGACTGCTGGGTTCACCTCTCAGAGAGGTGGGAACTACATGTAAAGTTTTGGGTAGCTCTTGGTTACAGCACACTGCGTAAAAAGGTGGCTATCTGAGAAAAGTGTGAAGTCAACTTTCGAGTACTAGCTTGCTAGATTGCTATCAACTAAACTGTTATTGCTCGTGACACTATGAGAAGCAAAATCATGCCCAGCTTACACACCTCACTTACAGGCTAAAAGACAATAATCACCAACAGAGATAAAGTTCATGTTAATAAGAACAAAGTGCCCATCGATTTAATATATATTTGAGACAGGTTCTAACTGTAACTCTGGCTGGCCTGGAACTTCCTATGTAGACCAGGCTAGCCTCAAACTCGAAGAGATTCACACCTGTCTCTGACTCCCAAGTCCTGAGATTATGAGTACATCACCACACCTGGATGTGTGTGTGTGTGTATCCCTAATTTTCCACTAATAAAAAAATATATGTGATGCCATCATTTGCAAAACTTGAAGAAGAGCATCTAAAGATCAAAAAGCTTCTAGATCAGAGTCACTTAAACACAGTCACTGCTGATCAAAGGAAATCTTCATCTCTTCTGGTCATAAACAAGGCAGCTCCCTGAATAATTCATCCCCTAAATACTTTTTAGTATACTCTACTACAGAGAAGCCAGAGTTTATTTGGGACAATTCATTATCATCTAGACAGGTCCCAGACTGAACAGAAAAACAAGCTCTAGCAGAATTATGTTCAAGATTTGCACATAAAAACAGTACAGTGTTACTGCACAATATATCTGTTTGTAATATGCAATATATCTGTCAGTGTGCAGTGTAATGCCCACTGACTTGCTTACTTGGACTATATTATACAATGAATACAGTTTCACAGAGCACCTTTCTATAGCATTCCTACCTATAAAACCACAGATCGCCAAGCTTTTGAACTGTGATCATTCTCTGTATTTTTCTATCCACTATTAAACACTTCTATTACTGTAATTCCCATTCAGATTGTCTTATTGCCTAAAGGATGAGTGGTGAATGAAGTGTGAAACGGTGGCTAACAACATAAAAGGGCTAAGAACCTGTAAGCACAGATACTGCAACAACAGGTTCATAACACCAAGTCACAGATATCAGTGACTCACCTCTACATATTAAGGTCAGATATGAGCTGTGGGGCAGTACTTTAGTCATCCTTTCTTCTTACTCTAAGTGTTTTCTTTCTTTCAGGGTATATGGGGCTGAGGACCAAATCTAGAGCTCGTAACACATAATAAGCATATGTTCTACTATGTTCTTACCAGTAAGCTTCATTAACAGGGTTTCTCTATGTAGCCTTGGCCATCCTGGAACTTGTTCTGTAGACCAGGCTGGTTTCGAACTCACAGAAAGTACTGGGTTTAAAGGTGTGTATCTGTTTATTATTTTTTTTAATAAGTAGATAAAACTTTTGTTTCTAGAAGAAGACAAAAAAAAAAAAAAAAAAAAAAATGAAGCAACAGGGAACACTTTTGTTTTGGGCCTTGCTATGATTTGATTCCACCTTGGAGAAACGTCTACATGTGTGAAGTCTGGATTTGCACTATTTGACAAAGAAGAGTAAATGATAGCCTATAGCTATAACATATAGCAAGAACTAAAATCCAGGCAGACAGCCACTCATCTATAACTCTGAAACATTATCAATGTCTCTGTTGCCAACTGTAGTTTGAGCAAAAAACAAGTGATTCTGGATATATACAATATTGCAAGAGATTTATTTCTGAATACTATAGAAACATGATAATATTCTTTCAAAGGCCCATCTTTCCATGGGGCTTCCTAAAGACAACTGTCTGAATTTTAAACTAGTAACCCAGAAAACAATGTAATGGTCCACCTTATGGCTTCTTTTTGATTTTGTTTAATACTGTTGAGGACCAAATTCATAGCCTTCAACATACAATCACCAAACTGCACCCCTAGCCCGAATCACGTTAATTCTGCAGGGCCAATCCATTTAAGATAGAGTTATGAGTCTCAAACTAATTCTAATAACCAGTATCTATAAATGTTAAGTCAGAAAAGAGTATTCTTGTTAGGCTTTTAAAAGCTAAGCATAGCCAGGGGGTGGTAGCACACAACTTTAATCCTCGCACTTGGGAGGCAGAGGCAGGTGAATATCTGTGAGTTTGAGGCCAACCTGGTCTACAAAGTGGTTCTAGGGCAGCCCCAGGGCTACACAGAGAAACTCTGCCTTGGGAAAACAAACGAATGAATGAAATAAAAAGCTAAGTATTCTGGATACTATTTGATTGCATAAGTGTATACATTTGTAAATGTCTTCTGCCATTTTCTGTTTACTTTCTTTAATATGTTTTGATGAACAGAAATATGGTATTAATGGTGAATTGGTCAATATTTGAGCATTTTGTAATGTGGGATGTCCTTCTGTATGCTATGAATATGTGTTGCTTTTATTGGTTGATGAATAAAGCTGTTTTGATCAACAGCCAGGCAGAACATAGCTAGGTTGGAAGTCCAAACAATTACAGAGAGAAAGAAGACAGAGCCAGGGAGATGCCACGTAGCTGCCAGGGAAGCAAAATGTGAGGTAACAAGCCACAAATCTCATGGCAAAATAGAGAATAAAAGAAATGGGTTAATTTTTTTTTTTTTCAAGACAGCATTTCTCTGTAGCTTTGGAGCCTATCCTGGAACTTGCTCTGTAGCCCAGGTTTGCCCCAAACTCATAGAGATCTGCCTGCCTTTGCCTCCCAAGGGCTGGGATTAAAGGCATGCACCACCATTGCCCAGCTAGAAATGGGTTAATTTAGTTGTGAGAGCTAGTTCAATGCCTGAGCCATTGGTCAAACAATTATAGTTAATATTAAGCCTTACAGTGATTATTTGGGAACTGGCAGGCAGGACAAGAAACCTCCAACAACAAGTTTGTATTAATTTTTTTCATTTATTAGCATATGATGGGGGAGCATGTTATATGCTGTTGCACACATGGAGGTTAGAGTACAATTTGCAGTTGATTCTTTCTGTCTTTACAGGGTTCTAAAGGCTAAAATCAGATCACACCAAGCTTGCAAGCACCCACCCCACACCATCTTTCAGCCCTGACAGCCTGCATTTTTATGTTTTAAGGACATTCTATCCTACTACCCTAGGGTTATAAATACCTAAGTATGTAATTTTATTACAGTGCTAAAGAGTGTTAGCATTCATACTTTTAAGCTCTTGAGCCATCTTCCCATTGGGTTTTTTTTTTTGTTTGTTTGTTTGTTATGTTTTTTTTTTTTTTTTGAGTTTGATGAGTGAGGCACAAACATCAATTTGCCAGGATCATGCACTGAACCACATATTCTTTTCATCATTGACCTGTAATGTGTAATGTCAACCCTCCTATAACTCAGGTTTCCTTCTGAGTGTAGATATAATGCCATGTTCTCTATTCCACTACTGGCTCTTTCTTTTTGCTACCACCACTATTTCACTGTCACACCTTTATATAGGTCTTGTCCACTTCCTAGACCATCTCTTGAATTCTTGTAATTTTTTTATTTTAATGTTGGTTTTCTACCTCCCAAGCAGCTTCCTTCAGTCATCAACTGCTAAATAAAAATGAAAGAGGAGAAATGTATGTCTCTTGCAAAGACAAGCAAAACAGTGAGAGTAAGAACAAGCAAAGAAAACAAGCTGTGCTTCCAACAGAAAGACTTATATCCATCCAACTAGAGCAGACAAGGGTGAAGGGGATTCAAAACTGGTTCCACATATAACCATGTTAGAAAATATGCTGTCATAAACCAAATCCTATTCTTAAATATACAAGAAAAGGAAGCTTTTCGTAGGGCATCACAATGCAAAGGGCAACTAAAACAAAATCTCAAGTGATGTCAAGAAGCAGGGCTTTGGGGCACCTTTAACTCAGTGCTCCTGAAATAAAGATAATGTGGACAAGATTCTCTCACCACTATACAACAACAGGACGACCCACAGACATACGTCATATGGAGAGAGTGAAGTCAGAGCCCTTAGAGCAAATATGGAACATCAGTTTTCAACTAGAGGACATCTCCCTTCCTAAAAGGACAAGCTCCGAAGAACAGTGGTAGTTTGAAAATGTGTAGTCACTAGTTTCATAATTGAAATATAGAAACAACAAAACACCAAACTAAAATTATTACTACAGAAACAGGCTTTTAGGACTTGGGAGTACTGGAGGTGTGGCTCAGTGATAGAGAGCCTGCTTAGTGTCTACAAGGCACTGCCTGGGTTTGATTCCAATCACCAAAAAGAAAAACGGCTCTTAAGAAAAGCCTTCTTGGCTTGTGGGGGTAAGCTTAGCAACACCAATAGTAACCAACAGCTGTTGTTGTTTTAATCAGCACTGTGGACAGAACACATAAAGATACCTCATTTAGCTAGCTAATCTTCAGATTGTACCCAGAGCTATGTTGACAGAAGAAAACCTAACTAATAAACTGACAGAAGAGCTATAAAGACTACAACGTAAAAACTTGGTAAGTTCCAAGTAGCTCTACCAACCCTTAATAAGTAACTGCTATGACCGACCACACAATGAGCTGAAGGACAATAAGGGAGTCCTTGTCCTTGATGAACCTGATACAATTTAAAGGCTATGGTGAGAAGTGTACATAGGAAGAAGTAACTTCGTCTGCTGGGAGAGCTAATGAGGATATTAAAGAGGAGTCAGTGAGTTGCCTCAGTGAGTAAAAGCACTTGCCCTCAAGCCTGACAACCTGAGT